ACATCGTGTAGAAAAAACTGATACGCCAAGAAACACTTAGAACATATTGTAATTAAGAAATAGTTAACTTCTAATTATAATAGCATGAATTATAGCATCTATATTGTCTCACCCTTTGCTTGAGACTAAAAATAGAAAAAAAATTACAATTAAATTAATTTAATTTAAAATTAATTTTTTCATCTAAAATTTAAATTAAATTTATACATTTAGTTTTTAAAAATAAATTTATACATTTAGTTTTTAAAATTAAATTTTTAAATTTAAATTTTAGAATTAAATTTTTTAAATAAATTTTTTAGAACACCTTTCAGTTACCCCATCTCTAAGTCAAAAAAGGACTTAATCCAAAATACCTGGAGCACAGGCAGGGAGCCAGGGAGGAGGACCAGGGTAGCAGAGAGTGAAATTCCCAAGTCACAGCACCCACTGGTGACACTGCAGCTCTGGTGTGGAATGGGAGGGGGTTTCTCCTCTGTGTCCCAGATTTTCCGTGAGGATTTGTGCCAGCCCCTGCCTGGCTCCTCTCCTGAAGGGGAAGGGGAGATGTGCAGGGACTCAGTGCTTCATGCAGAGCTGCCTGGGGGGCTGTGGCTGCAGAAGGGCCAGGGCTGTGTGCAGGGCACTGGGGCCCAGCCCAGCCCAGCCCAGCTCTGCTGTTCCCATCCCCAGCTGGGCCATTGGGAACTGGTCCGAGTGCAGCCGCAGCTGCAACGAGGGCGTCCGGACCCGCAGCGTGTTCTGCAAGAGGAAAATCTCTGCCAGCGAGGAGAAAACCCTGGATGATGCCTCCTGCCCCCAGCCACGGCCCAAGATGCTGGAGCCCTGCAACAACCAAACGTGTCCTCCCGAGTGGGTGGCCCTGGACTGGTCAGAGGCGAGTGCCCAGAGGAGGGACACGGAGCTGGGGAAGGGCTGAGGAGCAGCTGAGGGCACTTGGCTGGTTCAGCTGCAGCCCAGGAGACTGAGGGGAGGCTCCTCGGGGGCTGCAGCTCCTCCCCAGGGCAGGCACAGGGGCNACTCTCTGTCTGAGCCAGCTGACTGTGATTGGCCATTAATTAGAAACAACCACATGAGACCAATCACAGATGCACCTGGAATTTTTCTCCACTCGGGGTCACCAAATATGGTGGTGTTCACAGGGGTCTCAGGTTGAGGGAAGAGATGAGGATCTGACTCCAGGTTTCAGGAAGCTGATTTATTATTTTATTATATATATTATATTAAAAGAAAATGAAATATTAAAACCTCACTAAAGAATAGAAGAAAGGATTTCATCAGAAGGCTAGCCAGGAATAGAAAGGAATGGAATTATAATAAAATCTTGTGACTGACCAGAGAGTCCACAGTCTCTGCCTTGGGGGGCCAGTGCTTTATCCACTGGGCACTCCCAGATTTCCCTCCCTAATTCTCAGCTCTGCTGCCCTAATCTGTCAGGTTTTGGGATGATTCCACCCATGAGTGCCTGGCAGCTCATTCTCTGATCGAGCACCACTGTCACCACTGGTGGCTGCCCTGCCAGCACTGTGAGGGCTGTAAGGGGACAAGGAATATTCCAGGCTGTTGCAGAGGCTGTGGGATGCCAGCTGGGTGGTCACTGTGGTGGCACTGATGTCCTGGGGGTGCCTTTCCTGCAGGTGCTGGTGAGGACAGAGCTGCAGGGCATCCGCTACAAGTTCAACGCTCCCGTGGGCAGGGATGGCTCCAGCCTCTACTCCTGGCACTACACCCCATGGACCAAGTGCTCCGTGCTGTGTGCAGGGGGTGAGCTCTGGTGCTGGACTGCTTTGGGGGGACATGTGGGACCCCTCCTGTGCTGTGGCTGGGCCTCTGCTTGGCTCTGAGGAGCTCTGGGGTCTTTACACAGCCCCACCCCACACTCAGCCATAGGAGAGTTGTGTCAGGGCAAAGAACTTGGGTGCCATCTTCAGCTGGGCCACAGGTATGGGTGGATTAACCCTAAAGATCAAATTTTCCCACCCCTGTCATGGCAGGGACACCTTCCACTGTCCCAGGCTGCTCCAAGCCCTGTCCAGCCTGGCCTTGGGCACTGCCAGGGATCCAGGGGCAGCCCCAGCTGCTCTGGGCACCCTCCTGCCCAATATCCCACTCTCACTTTTATAAATTTTGGCCTATTAGCATATTGGAGTTAATTGTCCAATTCCAGCCCCAGCCCATGCAGTCCCATCCTGCTTGTTTTTCTCTCTCCAGCCC